TAGAACTAAAGATATAACTCATATCGGATCAGAAATCTTTAAGTAATTGGTGTTCATATAAATAAAGTATTGTGAAAATAACATAGTCCAAGTTAACCTTTTTCGGGTCTCAAACTATCTCTATATCAAATTTCATCTGCGTCGGTTTATACATATATTAGATAAATGTCACTAATTCTCTACAAAGAGCTCGTATTCAAACTTTTGTTTAAATATTAAAGACACATTTTAACTACTACACTTAATCTAGTCACAAAAGAGATGGCAGCCCTAGTTTAAATTCTTCCTTCTGAGGCGTTATGAATTGGAGCCGACGGAAGCGAGAGCGCTTGACACAAACTGTGACACTTCCTAATTGAAGTGCTGCTGGAATTAACATTGAAATGTTTAATGTTTGTAAACCTACGTATATTTTAGATTTCAACAATTAGCAGTTAAATGCTTAAAAAATATAATAAACAATAAAATATAAAGAAAAATGATGTTCTGACATTTTTAGTGATAGGTATAATATTTTCCATCTTGCAGAGATAAACTTAATAGGTAATTCCGTCTTCTGTCTTTCTACCTACTTTTTTTTATCGAGATTTATTGAAGAAATACACTAAGACGAACATTTAAATTTATTTTCAATATTTTTGGACTATCCTGTGTTTTTAATATAGTATTAAGTAATACAAAACTATTAATAATAGTATTCGACCATGTCGAAAAACAAAGCAATATATCTCTCTAATTCGTGTCATAATAATTCATTAGCAAAAGTGATTCCAATTTCTATGTGAGTCATAATGCTTCCGTAAGTCCACATATTACCTAAGTCTTGGTTTACGTTTTTTTTTATTTAGTAAAATGTTGGGGAGGATGTTTATTTTCAAGTAGATAGGCTGTCTCGGTGGCTTAGATCTACGTACGTGACCCGGTTACTGTGATGGATGGGGTTAGAAACTGAGCGCAGCATTTCGTTGTACTTTATGCCTACCACAATAATCCCTTAGCTTATGTTTTAGCTGTAATTTATTTAAGGTTATTAAGAATTAAAGAATAAGTATGATAAATGCGGCGTTGGCCTCCAGATACTTTTTTAATTGTATTCTTTTAAACATCGAATAGCACTCGAAATTCAAAACACAAGCTCAAATCATTTATTCAGTTTAGGCCGTAAAAAAGATCTTGTGAACGTTAACTGCACTTACAGTCACACTCAGTAATGTTAATTAAATTTAACTTTTTATTAGGCTATAGCAGCCGCTTTACCATAAGGCGGGCTATATGTGTGTTTGTCACCCTTGGGACATAAAATAAGTATATGTTATCTTATTCTATTATTATCGCAAATAAAGCGACAAAGTCCACTTTAATCACTTAATTGCAACAAATGTGGATTACCACAGCATGCTCATGAGCATGATTCACAATTAATTGATGTCGATATTTTCTCTAATTCTCTTAAATATTTCCAAAATAATGTAAAAAAAAATACTAGATTTGACGTAGGTATTTGCTGGTGACTGTAAATGTTTATTATGTTTAATTTTAATGACATCAATTTCCATTACTTTACAATATTTTGTGACGTTTTACCGAATAATGATATAATTTTCACTTAAATGATGACTCCGAGTACTACCGTAAGTGTTAACATAAATGTACTCTTAAGATATAATTACGTGTTATTCTTGTTGATTTTTTATACATTATGTGAAGGAAACAAATAATAATAATTATTATTAATCCTTCGCTGAAACTGAAGCGAAAGAAGAACATACAATCTCCAGATCCAGCTAGCCGTACCTATATAAAAGTCTGGTATTTGTTTCTAGAACACAATAACAAAGCTTACAATTCAGTCAATAAAAAAAGTTAAGACTTATTTATTAAATAAGTCTTAAATCCATACCTATACTACTATAATAATTATATCTATACTAATAAAGCTGAAGAGTTAATTCGTTTGAACTATTGGTCCGATTTGTAAATATGATTTTGTGTATTGGATACATTTATCGGGGAAGGCTATATATAATATAGGCCATAATATAATATAACAACGACCAATAGGAGCGGATAAAGTTACACAAAAATCATGAAAGACGGAATAATTCCCCTTTTAAAGTTGTAAAAAAGTCCACGACAGCATTTCTATCTTTTTAGGGTGACCCTCTATAAAACTTTTTCTCAAATGAAGCGGGTGAAATCGCGGTTCACCCCTACATATTTATAAGGGAGATATTTTGTTCAAATTAGGCTATGAATTGAAGTAATCGATAAGAAAAATGATATCCGACCTTACGGAAGACACAGACACAGTCACAGTGAAATAACATCAGCTGTCTTCGCAATTGGACAGCACTTAACTCACTGATCAACTAGCGGTGAATCTATACGAAAAATATTTGCACCAATAAATTATAAATTTTCGTGATAGTGTATCCAGTCTATGTAAAATATATTATTTCACGTAAAATATGAAATAAGTGTTATATCAACATTTGTTATTAGCAAACAGAACTTAAAATCATTCATTATGGTTCGCTTACTGATAATAGGTACTGAGTTCCTTTTAATCGCTAAAGCTCCAATAAAAATCTAATATGCATAAAATAAAAAAAAAATCGTACAAGTACGTCAGTATACTTCAGAGCTTTAATGTGACGAGCTCCGTGGCCGAGTGGTTTGAACGCCGGGTTTCAAGGTGTCGCCTACTCGAGAGGGTTCGAATCCCGGTAGGGGCAGATGTTTGTGTGATGCATTTGTACTCCAGTCATGGATGTTTAATATGTATTTCTATATATGTATACCTATCTGCAAAGTTTTATCCCACTCGAGTAGAGTATAAAACTAATTTGTTCAGAAATGTAGGTTTCTTTTCCGAATGTTGGTTTTGTTTCGTCAGCTCGATCGATACGAGCCTGCGAACTCTCCAATTTTCGTTCTGCCTCGTCTCCCTATATTGATTGTTAGAATGTAGGCCACGGATCATTTATGAATCGTAAATAAGCTATAGACAGCCGAAAAAATTATATCATTGGAAGATATCGCTCGTATAAATACCGTAACTTTCAGTACACAAGCTGATGCAGAAAATAAAGAACATTAAAAGTTCAGCGTTGCCATTGTTTGCTGATTGATATTATAAATTGTATTTGTATTTATACTGTATGACATAGCAATCAGAATGTGAGCGGAGGTTGTATTGGTAGCGAAACGATCCTATGTAAATGTTGCTACTTCTGTTAAATGCCGTTGAGTCTTTTCAGCCTATTCTTATCATCCCATCAGAACATCTCATTTTAACAATGTCCTAAATGGGTAGTAGGAAAATATATTGGAACCTTCAGTAAGTCAATTTCAAAAAAGCATAATTTCATTTCAATTCTAATATTCAAACGTATCAGTGATTGATAGTCGTCAATATGAAAGTAGAAGTAACTACTAGGATCGATAGCGGTAGTTCAGGCTTCTATAACATTTCGCTAAGAATAGCTGAACTTGACAGTCAACCTTGCCCCACGGTACGCCCTACCCACATCTTCATCAAACAATGATTAAACAAACTAATGATTAATGAATGTTCAAGTGAACAAAAGCTAAATTTGAGCATTCGCAAATAAATGTTCGCAGTAATACTATTCGTAGCACATTTTCTGGGAAGCGCTGCACAAGGCTACACACGTGTAGTAGAATGTCAACGCTCCGATAGTAGTTTTGTAGCTGCTACGGAGCGCTCGTAGATTTCGTAGCTGGTGTCTATACTTAGCAGTATTCGTGCTATTTTAACTTTTAGAGTATTTTTAAAGTCAAAACGAAATACTATCTACTTTCACGTTTTTAGGGTTCCGTACCTCAAAAGGAAAAACGGAACCCTTATAGGATCACTTTGTTGTCCGTCTGTCCGTCCGTCCGTCCGTCTGTCAAGACCCTTTTTCTCAGGAACGCGTGGAGGTATGAAGCTGAAATTTATATCAATTACTCAGGTCTACTGTCCCTTGAAGCTGTGAAAAAATCAAACTTCTAAGCCAACGCAATCAAAAGATACAGCCGTTTATGCCGCAAATTTTCGACACTTGCAAGGGAATCAAAACCTACAGGGTGCTTCCCGTGAACTCAGAATCTTGAAATTTGGTACCAAGCAACGTCTTATAGCATAGATAAAGGAAAAATTACGAAAACCATAAATTTTTAGTTACATCACATAATATAATTTTACGCAACGCAATCAAAAGAAACAGCAATTTGTCTTAAATTTATGCTCCTCCATCTTTCCCCATTGTAATGTTATGAATTTCATTTTGCAATAAAAATACCATAGTTATGACTCGATTGTCGTAATGAACGAACTTTGTAAACCTTGCAGGTTTGTACGGAACCCTCGGTGCGCGAGTCCGACTCGCACTTGGCCGGTTTTTTTTACATAGATACTTTGTTAACTGAGTCCGAGTATACTGTTTCAAATACTTTATAATATGTCTTAATGTGTAAGATATTTTGCGTTTTACAACACACTTGACGTTTCATACCATTTTGATCGCGTTACTTGAAAACTAATATACGTAACACAGTTGGCATAGGTTGTCGCCCATATATTATTACGAAAGCTACAGTTTGTTAGCTATCGGATTAATGTATAGGAGACAACCAATGCCAAGTATAGGAATGTATAGTAGGCGGATTACCGCCTATTAACTGTTGATATGACTTTGGTATATATAGATTTGTATGTATATATCTAAATATTTATTTATTATTATTTATGTATATTTATAGGTATATATTTTATTAAGTATATATATTATCTTGTTTCCATAGATATATTTTAAAATATAATAGGTAATTTGATGAATTCTTTTTGCACTACCTCCTTAAGATTTTTGCTAAAATTCTCCGGTTGACTGGTAGAGAATGCCTAATGGCATTAAGTCCGCCACTTGTACACTCATTGGTGCAGTAAAGTATAAATAAATAAATAAATATCTGAAGTTTTGTTGTTTTGTTTGCAGCCACCGAGCTAGACCTGCTGGGCGCTCTGTCGCTGCACAACACGTCGCGGGCCGGCGTCAGCGCTGCACCGGGCATGCAGCCGCAGCGCACCGCCTACACACTGCAAGGTATCGTCATTGGCCTATACATATCCCGGCTGCACAGGCATAGGCATAGACCATCTCTACGGATGGAATTGGTCTAGTGTGGATTGGTGGGTGCTAACGACTGCAGTACCCTTAGTACGAGTTTTACAATTACGAAAACTATGATAGTTTTCGTGAGCTCGCAGTCGTACTAAGGGTAACTGATTTTATTGTTTTCGTTTAGATACAAATAAAACAGTGTTTAAATTCTATCATTAAATCATTTGCGTCTTCTTAAATTTTAAGTATATTTGGTTACTTTTCACCAAAATGGACATAGAAACATAATTTACAATTACTAAAACTAAGATAGTTTTCGTGAGCTGAAACTCGTACTAAGGGTACAGATACATCCAGGACCAACAGCTTAACGTGCCTTTCCAATTTGGTCACCCATCCGATGACCGGCTATTGCGAAGTTGCTTAACTTCATAAGATCGTTGGAAGCGATCATGGGATAGCAAATCACGCTAAGCATTTTGCCACCAAGCTCCTCAAGCAAGGTATATCGCTATTCAAAGTATGGCTGTTGTGAAATTAGCAGCAAGCGCTACTATGCGCAGTTTCAGTTCAGTGTCATCCCGCGTGCGCCGACTTACTTACCTATGTAAGTACTCGTACATTTCGTTTACTGCGCCCCGCTACTTGGACTAACTTCGCAGCCTGACTGTGTCCCAGGTTTGCATGACATACCATCAATTTGCTATCCTGAATGCTAACGCGTGGACCACTTGTAAAGTAGGATTAGAAACAAAAGTAAAATAGTGTAAATTATCTTCAGTGTCACTCTTTCTTAGACAGGAGCTTTGAATTTGTGACACAATATTATTTGCTATAACTTGCCTTTGTCAATGTAAACATTATTTAGTATGCGATTAATTGTCAAATGATTGGTCTGGAAACTTAGAAGGACTGATTCAGGACATGAAAATTATTTCAAAACTTACGGTCAAACAACCGAAAGTTTGTTCGATAAATAGTAAAAGTTAATTTGTAATTCCTCTTTGTCCTATAAATCGAACAAATAGGTTAAAAAGGTCAAGTCGTCCAATCGATTGAGTCAAACAGATGTTTTATTTACTGCTTGAGTAAACTCTGACCTGAGCTCTTGTTTATTCACAAATTGGTAGACGATGTAAATAAATTATCTACAAATTACCTGTCCGTCTCCTTATATACCTAAGATGTCATCTTTTATGCTCTTAACGGGTAAGAGAGCTTTAAAATGAGTGAGGAAATCTAATACATCATTATACATTATACTACTCTACTAGCTTCATACAAAAGTGTTATCACATACCTACGTGGTAATGGATCGTAAAGTAACGGTAGTCCGCTAGAATGTGCAAGCCATTTCAGGTGCAATCCCACTTAGGTTATTAATGGAAGCCTGTCGGACACGCCTCTTTGCATTTTAACGTTTTGTAACTTGTTACTTTCATATCACTTACATTATCATGACATGTATTAATACACCACGCTTTGCGCGCTTAATATCAGATAGGGTGTGCTTATATAAATATTTCCTGTATTTTATATTGAATTCTATCTTCATCCAGTCCTGGGTTACGGCAGACAGTTTTTGCCCCAGAAAGATTATTTAAAACAAATCGCCGACCGTCTTGTGATCAGATTTTTTTATGAAGTACATTGAGTGTACTTCCGAGGGTTTCCTGAGGGGTGCCGCTATTGTGTTTTCCCTTACTTTTTGGCATTTGCAATTTACTATTGTGCAAGACGAAGAGGCCACAAGGAAATTGATAAAACGGTTCAATGGCAAGGGTGATGGAACAAAGATGGGGTGGCGAACATCACAACAATATGGTTCTTGCTCCCTAATAATAATTGTAGATATACGGCCGGCGAAGTGTTTGGCACACAAATATTTATATAACTACTTGAAACTTATTTGTTAACTCTTTTTAAATTGAAGATGAAAATTTTATAATTTACAGAGGTATTTTAAAAAGGTACTTAAGTACCACCTTTCTTCTTAATATGTTGGAATTGTGTTCAATTAAATAATAGGCGATTACGTTCGTGTAAAACCTAAGTGTAATCCGGAAAAGAACATCGTATGATTGGGGACGAGCTTTCAATTGATTGTAATCCCCATGACATGACACGCCCGCCGCCGCCACTCGGATCACGGTGAACCAGCGGTAGTCCAACGATGCTTGGACACTGATTAACTCCGCTGGGACCATCAATTAAGCACTTTGCTTTCGAATGCCTTTAAATTCAATGACAATTCCGCTTATAGCAAGGGGGGATTATTTCTAGAGGTAATAACCACCTTGCTATTTTTAATCGTAAATTTTGTATCATTATCATTTTGTAGATTTACTGAAACTTTTACCAATAGTTTTTTGTGCAGGAGAGATAAATCTGAAAGCCGTATATTTTCAAATGAAATCACAAAAAAGAAACTGGTCTTTATGCAAGGAACGGGGGCCAAATAAAGTGAGTTACCGTGTCATGTGGGATATCTTATGAAAAGGTTTCATTAGCACAAGTTTAAAAAGATTTTCAATTTCTGAATTTCGGGAATTTTCGAAAGTATATAACCTCCAAATCTGTGAGGAACCTTTAGTCGTGGAGTCCGACTCGTACTTGTACTATTTTTTATAATACACCGTTGCTGGGAAATATTAACTTTCTGAATTCTTCTACCACTCCTCTATGAACAAAATGTGCTTAAATAGGGAAGAATTTTCTTTCCCAATATAAAATTCTACCAAACAAGTGTAAGCACGTCTTAACAGAATATATGATCATACTTAATTTATTTCAATTTCCAGATCCAAAATCAGTACAGATGTGCGATAACTAACACTATCCAACAACGCAATGGGGTATTAGATAATATCTATAAATAGTTTAGTAGTTCTAATTTCACAGCTCTATAGATTAGGGGACCTGTCGCATTCGTCGCAACACATTTACGCGTAACGTAATCCTGGGCCATTAGGCGAGACCCGTAATTGTCGGAGGGTGACAGCCCTAATTGTGGGGATCGGAGACGCATTGTCTCCGGGCTTGTGCTTCAAGTGTCAAACGTCACATGCAGAGTTCGCAGTCGGATGCAGAGCACATCCCATTTTGTGGACTAGACAGGCGAGCCGATATTTAGAGCGGAAACTTCGCTGGTTGCTTGTACTAACCAGTATCAACCATTTAATGTCGGCTGCATGAACTCTTGGTTTAAAGACCCTATCTTTTTTCAAGCTTTTTCATGAATGTTTTATCAACTCATAGTGTTAAACGTTTGGAACTCTGCTGATTCCGTAAAAGATATGGCTTAAAATTAAGATAGAAAAACATGAATATTGTAATAACAATTTACTTATTTCTTGAAATTAATATTCTCTTGATTCAATAAATTATACTGTAACTTTGAACCAATAAAAACAGCCTTGAACCATATATTATTGGTTTTATGATTTAAAGAAACATAATCATGAACAAAATACCTGAACTAACAAAATAAAATCACTCAAATTATAAGTACTATTAAAAAGTAAAAAAACTAGAAAATAAAAATCTTAACTACCCTATGTACATTGAACTATAGTGTCCACCCAGAAAAAATAAGGAATATAAAGAAAACAAACAAATATAACTTAAATAATATACTATTTAGTTTACACACATTGCTATTGAATTTACGGAACTTGGCACTGTTGTCATAACATGTCATACTGTACGTACGTAATCATAGACACGGTGCATGCATTGTCAACAGCCATCAATGTCGGCAGCAGAATCGTTGGACAGTAAATAACGTCCGATATCATGTCATTCCACATGTCATATATAAAAAACAGCGTAATATAAACAAACCAACCGCAACTTATCCGAGTTGTTTAAGTAATAACGGCGTTTATTTTTAAATATAGCTTTCAAAGTCTCACAGTCACTACAAAATGAATAATTCATAACTTTGCTCCTCAGACGGAGAATTGCGTGTATTTAATAACGACAGCTTAACGAGTAGTTCATATTTGTTTTATTATTGTTATGTTAAAAAACTCCGTCATGGTAAAACTATGCATAAAGGAATTTTGAAAAGTAAAAAACTTACTTATCAAACCTTATTCATATAGTGCGTAGCGGTTTGTTTAGATAAATGGATTTAAAAAATAAGCTTAGTTACTCGATAAACATTAAATTTTAATATTGTTAGAGAATAGGGTATTTGACGAGTTTTAGAAAACGATCTCACGTTATTGACTCATGTTTATGGAGTCCGTAAAAAATGGATATTCATAATTCTGTTGTGTATTTCAGTAAAAATAACCAAATCAAAAACTCCATTTTCAAATTGCTGCGAAAACGTTTCTCTAGACAGTATGGCGTCTTACAGTGTGTGACGTCACACGACTGTTATTAAAATGTCAAACGATACAATGTAATGTCACTTTAACCGGAAGTTTACTTGCGTGTGACGTCATTTTAGGCTCCGCCAATCCCAAGTGTTTTGGGTCACGTGACAATAGATAAGAAAACTATTATCTTTTTCGTTAGTTTTTAGTAAAATTATGAATATTTTTTTTGTAAAAATAGTAAAAACCCCTGCCAATATTCATTCTAAGCACAGATGCTAACAATAGGCACTTTATTTTTAACACTGTGAAATACCCTAATTTTCATTTTTTTTACTATGAAATACATAATTTATTGATGAACTAAATCATAAACTTATCTATTAACCTATCAACTCACGTACAAATAACGTGCGATAACTTTCGCCAGTGAGCCGAGTAGATTCTGTGACAAAGGTGAAATCATGTGAAAACTTCACGCCTCCGATCGGCCCCATTGAATAAGTTGGCTGTGGGGCGCTGGCTAGTTCATGTTCATCAATTGACAAGGGTTGTAAATATGTAATGAGTTAAATGAATTATGGAAACCGTTCACTGTCTTGCGATCTCGATTTATTTTTGAGCGTTCAGCGTTGAAAAAGTAAATGCATAAGTCAA